AAGATGCTGAGAAATTCGTCAAGACTTGTCATGGTTGCTAAATCACAAGCAGGGGTAATCCACCAGAACCAATTCAAAGTACTATGTTGCCAACAGAACCTTGGGTGGATGTAGCTGTTGATTTCCTAGGACCACTTCTGACAGGAGAATCTATACTTGTGGTACAGTAGTTGATTATTATAGCAGATACTACGAGTATGCAATCATGAAATTAAATAACCACTGCAGAGAAGACAGTCAAAGGCCTGGCTGAAACTCAGACAATGGACCCCAGTTCATTTCAGAAGTTTTCGCAGAGTACATGAACATTACAGGACTCCTAAATGGCCGCAAGCCAACGGCGAGGTCGAAAGGCAGAACCAGAGTATAGTGAAAAGGCTTCAAATTGCACAGGCAGAAGGCAAGGATTGGAAAGAGGCCTTGCTGACTTACGTCGCAGTCTACCGGGCTAGTACTCATTCGACAACAGGGAAAAGCCCGGCAGAAGTGTTGTTCGGGAGAAAGATCCGAACTAAACTACCACAAATCCAGGACATTAGTGAGGACCAGGAACTGAGAGACAGGGACCTCCAAATGAAAAGTGGTGCAAAACACTATGCAGATCTGAAGAGGGGAGCCGTACATTCTGACATAGTGCCAGGAGATAAGGTGATAGTAAGATGTGATGAAAGGAGGAAACTAGACACGCCATACTTAAGCCAGCCATACACAGTGACAGCAAGAACAGGGAGTATGGTAACTGTGAAGTCTCCTGAAGGAGTCCTGTATAATAGGAATGTATCAAGTGTAAAAAGATACATGTCCCGAGACACTCATAACGAAGCTGCCAATCCAGAGAGGACAGACGGCAATCCTGAGGCGGTGACCGGTATTCCTGAAGGGTCGGACGGTAATCTTGAGGCGGAGACCAGTACTCCTGAGGCGGTGACCAGAGGTCCAGACTCCGAGGCAGCGAGCAACACATCAGGATGGTGATACCCAAGCAGAGACAACAAACACCAACGTTCCTATGGCAGCTAGTAGACCACAATGCCAGAGAAGATTCCCTAAGCGATATGATGATTTTGTGTGATTCCAGATCAATATGGTGGGAATGAGCTCTTTGTAAAATAGCAACAGTGATATCTGAAACTACATATGCCAAGGAGACAAATTTGGATATCAAGGAGAAATGTTTGAAAATCATTGGTTGAAGCCAAGTTGTGATTTAAAGGGTGTACGCCTTGCGCTGCCCATATTTGTGAAATTGACATGATGGAGAAATCACCATGGAAACCAAGCGTACAAAGAAGTTGTTTTGTGCTAAAATAATAAGTTCTGATATATATGTTTCAATATTACACATACATTAATCAATGTAAAAGGGTGTACGCCGAACGCTGCCCTTATTGTATGTCATATGTGTTGCGAAAAACACAAGTTTGAGTTGGAGCATCGATCAGTTTTCAAAAATGGATTCAATTATCGAAGAAAGTATTTACAGAAACTTCAGCTTCAGCTAGTCGTATGAACGCTTGGAGATAACAGATGATTCACACAAACTCAAGTATCCAGTGAACAGTTGAACTTTTATTTGGACCACAGACTGAATGCATGGAAGATATTGCATGAAAGATATTTAATTGCATGTTATGTTTTATGTTCAACAAAGTTGTTTGTAAGATAAAAAATTTGGGAAAAGTTTATCGACCAGATAAATTTGTTGTTTGTTAGAAGTTGTTCTTTAAAAACAAATTATAAAAAAAAACAAAAGCAAATGCACCAAAGCATGTTTATTTCAGTAATTGACATATGGTTGAAACACAAGAACAAAAGAAATATTACAAGAATTTTCAGTGAAACTATAATATAAAAATAGACCAGGTTAAGGTTTCATTCTGGCAAAGGAGGGATGTCATGATAATATGAATATGTATCAGATTATGCAAATGTGACACCTGTGACCTCAGGAGGTCAGATCGCATGTGCGCGATGTATATGTGATACGCGAGACTTGATACCCAGTGCAGGGAATAAACACCAGACTAGGGTATATGGAATTCAACTACTTTGTTAGTTTGTTTGCACTTAAAGCCCCAGTCCCATATAAAGCCGGACCAGCACGGACGAGCACGGACCACTCCGGACCATCCCGGACCATGGTCTGGGGTGATCCGGGATGGTCCGGGATGTTTTGTTCAAAAAAGTGTGATGCTTTAAAAGCTACAGTCCCATATACGTCCCGGACCGTCCCGGACCATCCCGGACCCCATCCGGGGTGATCCGGGATTCGGTCCGTGTTGACACCGTGTTGGCACCGGGGTGGTCCTGGATGGTCCTGGATGGTCCTGGATGGTCCTGGGCGGTCAATAACTCACTCCCGGACTGCCACGGATCAACACGGACCGCCCCGGCGCCACTACGGATGACCCCGGACCCAGCACGGTGGCTACACGGATCACCCCGGATCAAACTATTGTCCCGGACCGTCCCGGACCACCCCGGCAGTTTTTGACCGTCAAAAACATCCGGGGTCGACTCCCGGACCGCCCAGGACCATCCAGGACCATCCAGGACCATCCAGGACCATCCAGGACCATCCAGGACCATCCAGGACCACCCCGGTGCCAACACGGTGTCAACACGGACCGAATCCCGGATCACCCCGGATGGGGTCCGGGATGGTCCGGGACGGTCCGGGACGTATATGGGACTGTAGCTTAATGTGTGACAGTTCCAACCACTTCAAATTATAATTTGAAGAAGCCTTTGAGGTGAAAAAAGGTTGATTCTTCGTCCTAACCCTGTGTTTCATCTGGCCAACTAAAAAAAAAAAAAAATAATAATCATGTTTAGCATAAAAGCATATCCAAGCTCTCTTCCTTTTTGGGGGCCACCTCCTTTTTAAAAATATTTTTTAAAAATTTGTTTAAATTAATAAAAACATGAAAAACAGGCGCTAGTACTGTTGACCCGTAACTCTGGCGTGGAAATACCCTACTAAAAGTAAAACATACTAAAAATTCAACTTAATCTTCGATTGTTCAAATAATGGTCATGAATGATATGAGTTGTTATATTTCTTACCCCTTTCATGTCAAGTTTCTCATCTTTTTTGGAGTATAATATGGCAGTCAACGTATCCAATTTAAAATTCTTCTCCTTGTCTTTAAAATCCGTAACGGCTGCGGCGGCGGAGCTCCCTAGAGTTATAGTGGACTTTTCTTTCTTCTCATACAAAGCACTCTGAGCTGAGCTGAGCATACATTGGTCAAAGATTTAACCAAAAATGTGAATTTTTTATACCTCAGTGATAAGGATTTGCTTACCATCCACATGTTCCTGATGATAATGAGCGGTAACATGCAAACTCTGCGTGAGAGGTCAGAGTTTTTTTAAAATATTAATCGCATATGCACATGTAAGCTCATTATCATCAGGTTCAACCGTTCAAGGTTTGTTGGGTGCCAGAATGGGTGATTACATATGCATTTTAGGTTTTATGTACATCACTTTTCAAGCAGGGGTATGGGTGCCAATTAAGGATAGGTGATATCAATTTCATATTTCATATTATGACCTAACCCTTGACTTGCTAGCCAGGCAATCACGTACATAGAGGTTAGCGTAGATTTAGCTGTAGATGATGATGATGATGATGATGCTGGGTCTAGATCTATTATTATTCTCAATATTATTATTACTAGTAGTAGTAGTAGTAGTGTTAGTGGTGGTGGTGGTAGTAGTAGTAGTAATAGTAATAGTAGTAGTAGTAGTAGTAGTAGTAAGGAGTAAAGAGTTTTAAGAGCTGGAAAGTACTGGAAACCCAACTGGCAACAATTATTCCAAGCAGCTGCCCTTTTCTAAGGTTGCACAATAGAATCTAATAATGATAATAATAATATTGGCATTTATATAGCGCTCTTACAGACATACATGTGTATCACAGCGCTTTACAACATATTATTATTATCCCGGTCATCGGATTCAGGCTTACCCGCACACAAGGTATGCACATTCTCCACTCCCTGGGGAGCATTCCAGCCAGTCGCCATTTTACAAGCGCCACTTGCTAATCAAACCACATTAGCTTTCGCATCCTACCGGGTACCCATTTTAACACCTGGGTGGAGAGTGGCAAATGTAGATCAATGTCTTGCCAAAGGACATTAGTGCCATGGCGGGACTTGAACCGCGGACCTTGTGATCTACAGGTGTGCTGTACGCTTTGATTTCCGAGGTTCAAAGACGCCAATAAAGCCCAATATCATTGGAAAGCTTGAGAAGTGATTTTTTTTTCACAAATAAAAATCCTTAATATTTCACTTCTTATTTGAACTAACAAAGGGAAAATCTAACAGATGATAAAATATGAATACAAAAGCCTAATTGTGTCAAGAAATTTGCTTACAATGTATGATAGCAGCTTTAATGTGTGAAGAATAGTAACATTTGACAATCATAAACCTGCAATTGACACTTTTCTGATTACTTCCGGTTCACGATAATAAAAAGTGAATTTGTTCATGTACAGTTCTTTATTATGTTATGTCAGGTTAGTGCCCACTCATGCCCAGTCAAGTAATTTTGATTAATATTTCAGGAAATTTTGCTCCATTTCCTATCGCTTGCCTCCTATAAAGGTTAGCACTGTGTACTGCTAGTATTATCAGACGAGTGGTAGCAAAAATTAATCATCAATACAAAAGAATATTTCCCTTTGAAAGTGGCCCATTAGTTTGCAGCTAGGCAAGAATCTTTAGTCTACGTAATTATCTGCAAGGAAGATCCACAGAAGCACATGCCTGAAATATTTTCTCCTGGCGGCATCGAAGATGGTACAAAGGGAAAGAGCTAGATATGACTCCATCTCTTAAAACTCATTGGTGGGCGTAGTAGTGGTGGTGGTGGTGGTGGTGGAGGATTAATATTTCAGAACCCACTGCCATATTATAAGAATATTTTATATTATTAACAATGATGATCATCTTTCAACTGTTGATCTAAAATTCTTTATTTAGACTACAGTGCCTACACTTCAGGAAGGATGGAAGATGTATGCTTGAACCCAAATGAGGACGTTTCAAGTTGCGGAAGCTGTCTTCGTGACTTTGCTACCCTCCCAGACAAACGTGAGTGTATTTATAGCTTACTATAGGCCTACTAAGTACATTCTGTAATTTGTAACGATCCATTAATGAAATAATTCAAGATGAATACACTACAGTATTCTCTATCATAAAGATGGACATTCTGATAAACTAAGAAAATGTACTCTTAGATGAGCTCTTACATATACTTTGCTAGTTTGCTAGTTTGTGTGCGTATATTTGGGTATTATGATGCTTATTGTGAATAACAAACGCAGCTGAAGACTTTTTGACTTTTTAGGCTCTACATAATCTGGGACATGTGATTTTAATTTAATTTTCTTACATTGTATGAACTACTGTAGATGTTGTAGATCTCCATAGTGTTGTTTTTGTATGGTGCATGAGAAACAACATACCGTACTAGAGGGATCATCTGAATTTTTTTGAGTATTAATAGTTCTGTGAAAAAGAGAAACCTCCAAATGTTATCCATTTTAAATGGCATAGAAATCCAGATCCCATCATTAACTTCTGTTCATTTGCATACAGATAGGCAAAACCTGGGAAGGAATTTTTGTTACAAACTTAAAAAAATAAAGATGTTTAATTGTTGGTTTATTTGCCAACATTTTGTAGACCCCACTTTTTCCCCCAAATTCATAAGAAAGTACATTTATATCCATATGATTCTAAGATAGACCTGTATGTATACACAATTTTTCATGATGCTTTTTTTTTTTGGGGGGGGGGGGGCAATCATTTATATTATTTTGAAACACTATTTTCGAAATTACATATTTTCTAATACTTAGTGGTCTCTCCTGTTTTGTCTGTTCATTCTGTCACTCTTAAAATTTTTGTTCTTCATTTAATATGCCCAAATGTATACATGTACATTTCTTCTGTCAAAAAACAAAAGATTGTAGGATATTGTAGGATTCATCTAGTACACACAGCATAAAACATGCATATTCTGTGTACTTGACATTTCATGAATCGTCATTCCCAAATGCAAGGAGAACATTGACTATTTTATTACCATTTCTAGGTTTCCATTATCTGTTGGTCTTATTGCTATAAAGGTGAAGATATAGGCCTGAAGGCCTGCAATTTATTGTGAGCGAAACTGCCTTGAAGACTCTGACTTGTAGATCATGTACTATAATACATTTGACCAATTATTGTTTATTATTAGATTTTGGAATCATCTTCAGTTGCTAAAAATCACAGACCATTAAAACACAAGAAATAGATATTGATACATGGGACTAAACTACAGTAACATGTATCTGAAAATCTGAAATTGGTCCGAGTCTTAGACCCCGTTTACAGTGAGAAAAGGGCCAGGGCCGCGGCCGGGCCAGGCCTACTCGGCCCCGCAATTTTGTGCGTTTACAGCTAGTGGCAGGCTCGGCCTCGGCCTAAATTGTAACCTTTCAATATTTTGTCAGAGTGGCGTTCTGCATGTAAACAAACGATTATTATTTTTTTTGGGGGTGGTTGGCGCGCCGGGGTTCACAGTGCAGATCCGGTCGCGCGCGATTTGCAGTGAATCTTTCCCCCATTTTCCTATACACGGCGAACTTTCACTTCCGGTTGGCTGCGCATTTGGACCTGCGTGCGTTTACACTTTTACAGTGAAAAAAGGCCGGGGCGAGCTGCAGGGGGGCGTATTTTTTATTTATACGGCAGCGAGGAGAAAAGCTCGATTAATTCCAATGAAACCGCTCGCGGAGAGTCTAGTCTGTAGTGCCTGTACTGAATATGAATTGTGTTGTCGATGTACTCTGTGTTGTTGGTACGTGGCCGAGGGCATGTATCCTATGTTCACGCTCTCGATTTCTCTGTGCCATGGTGTCGCACATAATATCATACTGCCGTCACTGTTTATTGAATGCATAAAACATCTAGATTATTTTGTTTTCTTGTTTTCCTTTAGATGTGTTTCATCGTTTCCTTCTCTAGATCTATATTCCCTAACACTGCACTGGTGTACTCGTACTCCGATTTGGTCTAGTCTAGACTCGTCGCGAGCGGTTTCATTGGAATTAATTGGGAAATTCCCCTCGCTGCCGTGTAAATAAAAAATACGCAGCCCGGCCGCGAATTTTTTTTCCGTACTCGAGAGGGCAAATACCCCATGTGCGCATGCGCGTGGACTTGTGATTTCTCTGCTACTTCCCATACGAAATGTACATGTATTCGCATGTACTGTGCACGATTCGCGTTCTACGAGTAAACGATGGCAAACACAGACTCTGATTTGCCAGTTTGACAAAACAATTACGCATATATCGTGCGTAGCAATAGTACTAGTATTCAAGTCTGAGTAGTTGTATGATTCAGACATTTTAGTGCTTACAGAAATGCATCCCAAATTGAATAGCATGGTATAGTAGTCTGCAAGCACAGACGCTAATCGGACAGTTTGACAACATAGTGTCTTGAGTAGTGCTTTATATTCAAATATGTGTAGTTTTATGATTCAGACCCTACTGGTGCGTGTAAGAGTTAACATCCTTCTGGCTCTCAGCAGACCATGATTATAAATAAAAGTAATACAGAGAGTGCGAGCATACTGGAGGGAGGGCTAGAGAGAGAGAGAGAGAGAGAAAGAGAGAGAGATATGGAGAGAGAGAGAGAGAGAGAGAGAAAGAGTGTGAGAGAGCAGTGGCACAATACATAGGCCTACCATGGGGTCTGGAATCATTAAACTACACAAACTTGCATAAAATCACTACTCATCAATACACAATATATTATTATGTCCTTGCAGACTACTATTAGCGTCTGTGCTTGCAGACTACTATACCATTCTATACAAGTTGCAATGTATTTCCATATGCACTACTGGGTCTGAATCATACAACTACACAGACTTGAATAAGCACATCGCGACACATACGCATATTGATTTGTCAAACTGGCAAATCAGAGTCTGTGTTTGAAGACTACTATGCCATCGTTTACTCGTAGAACGCGAATCGTGCACAGTACATGCGAATACATGTACATTTCGTATGGGAAGTAGCAGAGAAATCATAAGTCCACGCGCATGCGCACATGGGATTTTTGCTCTCTCGAGTACGGAAAAAAAATTCGCAGCCCGGCCGCGGCCGAGACTACCTCCAGAGCACTGCCAAATGCACTGCCAGTTTGGCCTCGCATTTGGCCTTTTGCGCGTTTACAGTGCTAGGCCGGGCCACGGCTCGGCTCGGCCCGGCCTTTTTGCTCACTGTAAACGGGGTCTAAAACTCCTGCTAGTCATTTTGAATTACGAGAGCAGTTAAAGAGCAATGCTTTTTAGGAACATGGCATACTAGGATAATATTCCACATTTGAAAAAGCTCATAAATCATTTTTCACCTTAGGCTTAAACTAAATCCAGCTTTCTCTTTAACAAGATTATAAAAAATAATGTGTTCTCTGACAAATCAACTTAACTTTTGTAATTTCTCAAATCTCTTCTCAGCCTCTTGGTGTGTAGATAGGCCCCCCCAAAAAAATCTACTGGCATTATGGATTATTTTATTATTACTTGCCTTTGCTGTCTGCTGCATCTTATGTTATTGTTTTTGGAGGTAAGTTTTGGAAACATTCATTCATAAGTTATACAAAAAGTACATTGTAGAACCTCTGTTGACATTAGTCTACCTGTTTAAAGATAAAGACCAGTTATGGTCATGCGATTGCATTGTGAAAGAAACGTGGAATCGATCAGAAAAGGTTGATCATCTAGTATATAAGTATTGGTGTGTACTGCAAGGTTCTGGAATCATCAAAATGAAAAGAAATTTGGCCCAGTCTTCGTAAAATTACAAGCACTGTACACAGAAAGATGTATATGGGACTACACACACGTGTGTGACACGTGCATTTATCTTTCACACACCAATAGATAAACTTATTTACCAAATATATCAAAGAGTAGGCAGTTTTCCGGCAAATTTGTTATCATCATGTATTAGTCAAAACATACTCTTTCACATGATTGGTAATAAGAGCTTCCATTTCATTTTTTGAAAGTGGGGCGTTTCCAAGACTGGTCTTTACCTTTAAGCAAAAGATGGTTGATAAGCATAGATTTAAAAAAATTATGAATGGAAGAACTAATTAAGAAGGAAAAAGAAAATGGAAAATGATTTATAAAGCAAATGAAAAGGGAGCTACAGAGTATGTCAAACAGAAATGATACAGGACATTTCAAAATATATCAATATTAAGATCATATTTGCAAAATGTGTGATTACTATTTCATTGTTCCTGTAAGATATTCCATGTTGCTACGTGTAAGAATTCTATGATTGTTTTTATTGTTTTTGTTTTTTTTTACTTGTAGGAAGATCTGGGAGTGGATTCTAATTACCCGTAAAAGGATCATTGACTGGATTGATAATATTAGAAATAGTACGGACACTCCTGATTCTCCTCCGTCACCTCAAAGCATTCCATTAGATGGAGGAAAGGAAAATGATAACATTGCACCTGAAAAAGGAGATAAAAAAGAGACATCTCCTATGCTACCTAAAAAAGACACTTCTGAAAATTCTCCAACTCCTGTGTAACAGTGAAGCTTTAGGCCAACTTAATAAACAACAGTCCCGGCCTCCCAGGATTGAATTCAGTATTCGGATTGAGTCAATACTTTACTTAACACTTAGTTTGGCCAAGTGAAAGGGCTTAAGCCTTTTTTTTTTTATTCAGATGATTACATCATCCCCGAAGTTTTTTTACTCTTGAAAGCCAACCATTAGCCAAACTGCTCTCTTATAGTTATGGTGACACAGAACCAATCCAAAATTAAGCTCATGAAACATGTCGCATTAATTATGCAAGCTTAATTTGCTTTTGCGCAGATTATCATGACCGGTGTAGTTGAAGGGGGAACCAGTCAAGGCTTTCAAAACATTAGCTCAAATCTGCTGGCCAGCTTTCTTAGATTTCAAGTAAAATACCTAGCCAACAATTCATCAGAATATCAAAAGTTGAAAACTAGTTGAGGAAAATGGTATTTCTGATTTAGATATTGAATCAAATACCATCCCAGACCATAATGATTTATAGAAATGTATTTGTAGCACAAATTGAGGTTAATCAATCAAGCCCTGCATTTGTCAGTACATGGTGAATTTGTCTTGAATGTCTATTCTTCTATTTATGTTTTTTTTAACATGAGGGATATATAGATGGTGTATTAAATATTTAAAGGTCTAAATTTTCAACAATTTTAATAACTGAATCAAAAATTGATGTTTAAAAAAAAAAAAATCAGAAATTGCTGAAGCATAGCAATGATACTCTTGCCATATGAATTTATCTAAATGTAATGTTTATTTCAGAGCTATGTTGTATATCATGCTTGATAGAAAAATCAGATGGTATTTTAATGTATACTCTTTTTTTTTATTACCAAGTTTTAAAAACATTATTTGACCACTCATTCAATTCTCATCGGTGGTGAATTAAAAAAAAAAATCAGTCATTAATACACACATGAATTGCCCCAAAATTGCCTTTTTAAGAGTTACTCTAACTTCAAAACTAACTGTATGTTGTATTCACCCTGTGTATACCATTGAATATTCTTGACATTTAAAGCCAGGGTAATAATCAGCCGCGCCAGGAGTGTCAAGTCAGACAGACATGAGCCCACTATTATTGTTATAAATGTAAGCTGCAAATGTGCTGCCATGCCTTATCAAAACCGACCAAGGATTTCATCATGAGAACAGTGTAGCCAAAAATTATTTGTGACACCCAGAAAAAATTAATCAAACTGAGATTTAAAAAAAAAAGATATCGACATATCATTTATTAACTGGCTGGAACATAATTGTTAAAGGTGTCCCCAGCAAATGAAACAGACTTAGTTTCATACTAGTTGGTCTAATATTTAGAGTTTTTCCAGTTTTGTGGTCACAAAAACATATAATTTTGACACATGGTGGTTTCTGGCGATTCAGCAAGTTCACAAGTCCTTGTTTAGTATGTGGTTGGTCCTCCCTTGGCTATTTTCACTGCATGTAGCCTCTGCGGCATGCTATCAACCATGTTGTAGCAGATCGCTGGGTCAAGACTCTCCCAGGTACGCTGACGCATGTCCTTCAGGCTCTGTTTCCTGCTGGGTGGTTCTGGGGGACGTGTCCGCTCTAACTCATCCCAACGATGCTCGATGGGGTTTATCTGGGGGCCACTTGAGGACATTCACCATTTTCTTCTGGAGAAAGGCCTGAACTTGCTTTGCAGACTGCTTCAGATCATTGTCTTTTTGGAAGATGAAATGGCGCCCAAGCTTTCCTTTTTTGTTTGTTTTTTGGTTTATATACTGAATTCTTACTATTGGACCTACTTATTATAACTGTTGTCTGCACTTCTACTGAGACAACCATGTTTTTAATTGCATATTTATCTAAAATACTTGCATAGAGCCATTATTCTTAAAGGTAATACAAAGTTTTGGGAAATTTAGAAAATTGGGTGGATAGTGATTCTTTACAATTTTGATATATTTGGATGCCCCTGAGGATGTATTATAAGCACCTCAAACACTTCTGCTTTCGAGAAAAATTGAATATAAAAAAAAAACCGGTGCTCCTGGTAAATTTTGATAAATTTCAAATAGTGCCTAAGGCCGTAAAATGGTAGCTACAACCATGAAAATCTCAGAATATGTAGTTGTGATTTATAATTTCGAATCAAGAATAGCTAATCGGTCAAGAAACATCGTTTTATAGCCTAATTAATATCTTGACCTTGAGAGGGAGCTATACAACATAAAGAGTTAATTATTTACAATTTCATAACTTTAGACTCGATTTCAACGCGACAACGATCACTGAATATTAGGATCGCATATGCTTCCAATATGTTCATTTGAACAAAACTCGTGACCCTGTACCAAAACTTTTGTATTACCTTTAACAATATGTATAAAATATAATACAACAACTTGTCAAATACACTATGTAAATAGAAATAATTTTCATGTTTTATTGACAAGGCTATCGTGTTAATTGATTTGATTTGATTTATTGGTTTCTGCATCTTTTTTCTTTTTTTCATCATACATTTTCATGAACATAATATGGCTTGATACAATATTTCAAGTGTATATAATTTTATACAGATAATAAACGATATTAAACAAATATATTGAATTTAAACGTATACATTGAATGCATAATTAACATACATTAGATGCAGGGGGGCTACAGAAATAAGCAAAGTAGCTTGACATGCCGGCAGCCCTCAACTTAGATACAACAATACAAAATAAAAATAAAAAAGAGTGACTTGCAGAAAAGTTATCTTCATATCTACACTGGTCAGAAACAGTTTCATTACTGAATTTTTAATTTTTTGCTGATTTTATTACTGGTTTTATAAACGTATCAACACTCTTTTATTACCATCAACCATACCCTCTTCAACCCTCTTCTTTTTCCCCCTTTTTTAAAACTTTTTTTTTTCTCCTTTTTCTTCTCTTTCTTCTCCTTTCTATTCATTTATTGTATCAATCCTATTACTAAATATCTTAATTTCATATTCGCCTATTTTACAAAGGACTATTTGGATTTATTTTATATGTTGCAGTTTTATTTGTATATTTAAGATTTATCAGCTTTTAGCTGTGACTATGATATTTTGTCAATAAATCTTGTAGATTCAATTCAATTCAATTCATTTCTTGTGGCAGATGGGATCATCTGAGTGCACAGGATCTCCTGGTACATCTTGGCAATCATCGTCCCTTCAATAAAATGTAGGGTGCCCTCACCGGCAGCTGTGGTGCACCCCTATCCCATTATACTGCCACCCCCTTGGCCTTGCTTCACAGTTGGGTCCAGACATTGAGGGTTGCTTTCTTCTGCAGAGTGTCGCCAAATTCTTTGGGGACCATCGGAGCCAAACATGTTGTTTTGGGACTCGTCGAACCATGAGGCGAATTCACAGAAATGCATAGACTTGCCAACATGTTTTTTTGCAAAGTTCAAACGTTTTTGTCTGTTTTTGTGTGTGCTGATATATGATTTCTAGCGCATAACTCTATCATGCATCCCACGTTCTTTCAACCTGTTCAAGTCTTGGTTGTGTGCATGCAGACCCGAAAACCAGTAGCCTCCTCCGCCTGCTTTAAAAGATCCTCTAGAGACAACTTCCTAGACTTCATTACCAATCCCTTGATGTAATTGTCTATCGTTGAACTGGGCGTCCCTTTTCTTCCATAATTGCCCACCAGATTCTTGATTCCCCCCTTTTTTTCTTGAATTACTAGATGGTATACTGCACGGTAGAGAATTTCATTTCCAATCTGGTTGCAATCTCACAGACAGAAAGTCGCTCCTCGTGAAACTCAAATACACTCTCACGCAATGTATGGGACATTTCTGTAGTTTAGCCTGTTTGCATGCTGAATAGACATACAAATGTGTTATACACCATAATGTTACAGTACATGGCTTTTAGTAAGGTACCCAATCCCATGCAAATGCTTATGAATATCAGAGAGAATAGCTTTTGTCTGGCATTAATACCTTTCATTCTCATCTTTTGCCCTAAAGCAGCAGGACTTTTGTGTATTGATGCATGCCAAGGAATGTCCGGGATAATTCTGCGATAGTGTTCAATACAGAAGAATATAGATTAGAATATGTCTGGAATATGTTCCCAAAGACCAGGTGTTCAAAAAATATTCTGCGACCCTAAAAGTCCTCTTTCAATGATAATTTCATAATGTTGGTACATAATATATAATCCCATTTTTCACTTTGCCGCATGAAATTCACTCTAATAATATTCAACCACTGCTACACAATCCCTGCTCAGAAGACATCACTCCGGAATTTTCGGCTACACTGTATAATATGAAGTGTTCAAATAACACTTAATTAAGAGAAATCAATCCAGTACAAGTCTTTGGTATCACTTTTGAAATGTGCAAACATTACTCTGACGAACAACACGATCCAAATATATTATTTCTGTGGGATAGCCAATTAAAGCTATCAAAACTGCCTTTAAATTGCATTCATGAAAATCTTTGCCTTCATGATTAGCAATTTCTGAATGTATTTTAACAGGTATTCTATCTGATTTATATGCATGTGAACAGTCTTTTTAAGTGTACTTCTTAGGGCAGTGTGGTTTTGCTCTATTTCTTCCTCCTATCAAAGGGTAAATCGACTGTTGTAAGAAATTGTGAATTGTACCATCTGATATTTTTATAAATGACATCATTCATGTGTGCCCCAGATTTGTATCTTTAATTGACTCACAGTAACTTGCTTTAATGGTTGACTTGCCACTGGTCTATTATAATTATTGACATAGATCTATAAGTACAGATAGTTGTGAGAAATGTCTTTTTGGTGTTAAATTATTATATATTCATTTATAATTTATATAGGTGTACAAATTTAGAATGACAAGGCTGTCATAAACAAATATATGTATATGCATTCATATAATGGAATTATTGACATAGATCTAGATAAAACAACATTTTAAATGCAAATGTGTGACATACGGTGGTGAACCTTTCTGAATATGTGCCTAGCATGACAGAGAGAGAGGGCTAAATTCCGTGACCAGACACCTTTTCCTGCGGCAATCGCTCCGGGTTTTATGTTGTCGAAGGTTCAGGTTTACAGTTGGAATTAGGTTGGGGTTAGGGTTTAGAATAGTGTTGTGTCGTGGTCGATGATATGAATAAGGTTAGAGTAGGTAATTGATTCAAGCATTTGTTGAATGAGCAAATAAACACATATTCACATAGGAAGGACTGCAGTGTGCTGGTAAATGTAGGATATGTGTATTTGGATTATTTTGATTATTGTAGTTTTTATACATCACTTCATTTAGATTTCTCATTGATATACGAGTTATGTTTATTTTTATTTTTATTTTGGTATTGTATGCTTACATTTTGGTTTTGGTTCACTGTAAAATTACTCTATAGCGGGGACATCGTTTTTTACTGCGCGCAGTCGAAGTTCCATTTAGTTGTGGATGGTTTGTGTGCGCCTATACGCCACATTTCTCGAGGTATTTCGTTCAAATTTAGATGTCCATTGGTATTATCAACAAGCCTATAGATTTTGCTGATGCTGCGCCCAGTGCTCCGTCTTTTATAGGGTCAAATGTCATATTTTGATAGATATCTTGTGTGCACTCTAGTGTGCGGTCTAACTGCATCATGACATATTTCTTTCAAATTGAGTATGGAAGTGTATGTTGGTAAAATCTATGCACCTTTAGTTTTTGGTGATGCTGCCACCAGTGTTCTGTGTTTATAGGATCAAAAGGTTATATTTTGGTGGGTGTCTAGTGTGCGCTCTTTTGACGTATATCTTTCAAATTTTGCATAGAGAGTATTTTGGTACAATCTACACATCTCTCCATTTTGGTGATGCTGCCCTCATTTTTTCAATTTTTATAAGGTCTACAGTCATTTGTCCCTTTTGTGCGCTGTAACTGCCACATTTTTTGAATGAATTCTTTCAAATTTTGTAAGGAGTTGTATCTTGATCGAATCTACATATCTTTCGTGTTTGGTGATGCTGCCACCAGTGTTCGTCTATTATAGGGTCAAAGGTCATATTTTGGTGGGTCTTTAGTGTGCGCTCTGCAGAACACATTTCATACCGGAATTCTTTCAAATTTTAAATTGGGATGTAATTTGGTACAATCTACATATCTACACGATGCTGCCCTCATTGTTGCGTCTTTTATATGGTCAAAGGTCATAAGTCTTTTATGCG